TGCAGAGGTTTAGGTTTTATTAAGTAGAAAGGGAGGGTCTATATTAGTATATGTTCTCTGAGTGTACTGCCTCTCTAGGAAAGCAACAAAGACTCTCTTAAAGCCAATGGATTCTTCCTGTTTGGATCATCTCCTGGATGCCTGGCTCCAGGCCCCAGAATCCTCAGAGAATTGGAATGGAGGCCAGAAAAGAGGGGCCCAGGTAATGTCCTCTGCAGCAAGACACTGGAGAAACGAAACATAGGGTCTGGCCTTCAAGGGCACAATTAAGATAAGGAATGTTGAGCTATACTGGGAGGCCATTTTATTTTATTTTATTTTATTTTTTGAGACAGGGTCTCTCTGTAGCCCCAGCCGTCCTGGAACTCAGCCTGTAGACCAGGCTGGCCTTGAACTCACAAAGATCCACCTGCCTCTGCCTCCCAAGTGCTGGGATTAAAGGCGTGCACCACCATGCCTGGCAGCCATTTTATTTTTATTGAAAGATAGTGTAACCTTCTTTTTAAATGAGTCCTGAAACCTGACTTGCAGTGATTGTTGTTTTTTAAAAAAATATTTTATTATTTTTATGTGTACGAGTGTATTCCCTGCATGTATGTGAGTGCACCCGTGTCATGCAATGCCTTGGAGGTCAGAAGAGGGTTTCGGAGTCCCCTGGAACTTGTGTTAAGGACGGTTCATAGCCGCCATGTGGGTGCAGCTGGTCATGGGGGTGCATGTCTGTAATCCTGGCACCTAGAAAGATGAGGCAGGAGGATCAGGAATTTAGGTTCATCCTCCGCTATTTAGTGAGTTTAAGGCCAGCTTGAGCTACAAGAGACCCTGTCTCAAAAATAAACAATGTAGTGCAGTGCACCTACAGGAAGCCATGCTTCCCTTTACTTTGCCAACGGAAAATGTGTGGTGTAAAATAAATCTCTACTTTCTTATTTTTTATTTTTTGTTGTTTTTGAGTTAGGGTCTCACTAGATAGTCCTGGTCGGCCTGGAACTTGAAATGTAGCCAGCCTGGCTCAGAACTTGTGGCAATGAGAAAATAAAAAGAAACTAGGCGCCATGAGTGCTCAGGGGCCCACAGCCCACTTGTTAAAACTTAACAAAAACCAGAACCAGCCTTATCAAAAGGCTGCAGGACAGGCAGGCACCGGTCAAGCTTCACAGATTAAGCCATAAACAAGTTTTACAGACAGAACTCCTGACCACCCTGGGGGCCCGATACCAGGAAATCTTCTGTGCTTCTGAGGCCACCTCCCATTTAGCAATCCTACTTCCCCTCAGCCCCGGCCCTTACCCCATATCTCTGCATACCTTTGAAATTACTGGTGAAATTACTATGTGTGTTTGAAATTAACCAATAACCGCACTTCTGCTTCTGTACCCTGCTTCTGCCTTATAAAAAACCCCTGAACTCAACCTGGGGCGCGCAAGTCCTCCGAGGAGACTCTGTGCCCACAGGTACCTGTGTCCTAAATAAACCTCTTGCTGTTGCAACCCAAAGACTGACTTGTCCTCAGTGGCCTCGCTCTTACACCATAATCCTTTGCTTTTGCATTTTGGTGTGTTGGGTCCTTGGTGGTCTTTTTGGGGTCCAGTGGATGAGGTACAACAGTTATACTTTC